TCTGATTTATCCTACTTAAAATTTTAACATTTAAAGATCGCCGATCAGGTGTTGCGTTCTTTTTGGGAGACGGTGTAAATTGAGATAATTCCTTCATGCCTGCCTGACCTAAAGAAAGGAACGATTTTTAGTTGAGTTGCCAGAGGTTCGCCGGCAAGATCATCAAAGACTATAACAGTAAATCGACCAGTTCTTTTGAAAGACGAAATATCAGGTAGTTCTTCAGGCGCGATCAGTTTGAATCTCACATTTTCGTACCATGGAGCTTGCTTATCCATGGCTATAAATTCATAAAACATTGTACTGTTTCCCATAACTCTTCATCTTGATGTTGCGCAACAACAATTAGATCATCACACGGAATATACCTTTCACCAAAATTTTTGCTCCCGCCTTTTGGTATTTTATGACCACGTTTTTCACCAGACATCCACGGATATTTGGTTCCTAGAAGCTGATGTACTACTATTTTCGTCTTTCCAGACTCAGAGGTGCCCGCAACTCCTAGTCTAAATGGATGTTTAAGAGCGAATGGATTCTGTTTTCTCGAAGGTATAGTTTCATCTAATTTGCATAGTTCATAATATTCCATAGTATTTTGAAAAGTAGGATAATTATCAAGAAATATATTTTCTTGACCACAATGGTGAATTTATTGTATTTGATCTCACTAGGCCGGAAGATGATCCCCTTGCAATCCGCATAAGGTTTGATACTCCACTAAACCTGCAGAAGGAAATAGAGGCTAGGCAGAAACGCAAGGAAAAAAGTGCCTCAGCTAATGAATAGAATCTGACTTTATAGATGCTAGCTTTTTTTCGTAATTATAAAAAATTGGAATGGGGGAATCAGTTATTTATATCGATCCTCAGAAAGCTCAAGACTTAGATCGGGATCTTACTTTACAGAAACTTTATTACAGACCTGAGGGATATTATCGGACTGCTGAAAAAATGCAGGATGCTTGTAAGAGGCGGGATATGAGTTCACTTTGGCTGTAATAAAAAAATGGCTAAACAAGCAGGCTTTACATCAGATTCACAAACCCTGTCCTAAATTTATTCAGTATGCTTCTTTTAATGATATACAAGATCTAAATGATGTGCATCAATCTGATACTACACCACTTTCTCATTGTAAAATAGGCAATCGAATTTATAAGCATAGACTTGTAATAAAAGATGTGGCTACTAGATTTCGCCGTAGTTTTGCTTTAACCAATAAATCATCTGCACAAGTGGCTAAAGCATTTCAGAAAATTTATGATGACCCAAACTGCCCTCTTATTTGGCCAAATGTTTTAATTATTGATAGAGGTACTGAATTTATGGGCGAGTGTAGGGAATTATTACTTAGTCATGGTGTAAAAATTCAGTATGCTAATTCTAAACGTAGTGTAGCTATTGCTGAACGTGACCATCAAGAATTTGAAAAGCATACTTATTTTCGGCAAGATGCTGTTGATTTTCATTTGCCTTTGACTGATAGATCTAGAGCATGGTTTAAGGGACTTCGTATAAATGATGATAATTACAATTATACTCCTACTCAGTTAATAGGCATGTCTCCTAATGAGGCTGTAAAAAAAGCATTAAAAGGCAAAAAAATAATAGCTAGACCTTCAGTAAAGCATAGGAGACCAGTTAGTTATAATGAACCTCTTTTACCTAGTTATACAGAAGTTCGCCATCTTTTAGAACCTGGTGAATTAGAAGGTGGTAGAAGACGAGCAACTGATTGCAATTGGTCTCCCGAAGTCTTTACAATTGATTCTTACTTGATAAAAGAAAATCAACCGGTTCTTTATAAGCTTTTCAATGGTCCTAGACGCTCATTTGTAAGAGAAGAACTACAAATTGTAAAAGATAGGCAATTACCCTCTCAATGGATACTTAAGCATTAGACTTACCTCCTCTCTCCTCCACTTGGTATAGGATTTGTTCGAAGGCATCGCTTAAGTAGTCATCTATCTCAGCTCTATTATAAACTATAATTTGCTTATTTCTAAGCCAGTCAGTTCGTGAATTCTTTTTCCTTGTTTTTCATTTCCAGGTTTATCATCTATAAGAAATTTGGTAAGAGAACATAAAGCGAACTTGAATTGTCCATGCTTGTCAAATTCTTTTTCGAGTAATTCCTTAAATTGTTTTCTTTGGCTTTCTAACATTTTTCGTATATCACTTCCATTATCTGGATGCAATCTAGGAACTTTTGCACGATGTACGGCTATAGCTCTTCTTTTAACTGCTGTTACCAATTCTTCTTGCTCCCTAAATTCTAAATCCTTTTCCGATCCTTCTTCAGTAATTTTTCCCAAACACTCAAATTCTTCATTATTTGTTTTTTCTTTACTAGTTTGACTACTTGGTTCATTTTTCGATAAGTAATGGTAAATGCCTTTACAATCATCTAAGTTATTTATGGTAGGATTGATTCCTACAAGATTCTTGAAACTTTTTTGTAATCTTGCTCTCCATGACATGAAATGCTCACCAGGCTTTCAGGCAATTGGATCAATACATTTTTGAGCAGGTTTTATAGTCAGAATAATAGGAACATCAGAAGTTTGAATAGGGGTATCACTTTCTGTAAATATTTCTTTACGAATTTCAGCTACGACTCCTTTTTTATGCTTTTGATTAACTGCTTGAACATGTTTTTGCTTAACCTGTTGGTTTCCTTTTTGAATGGATATTTGATTTGATATTTGAGTAGAAGAAGCGAGGGTCAAGGTTAGAGGGATCCTTTTGGGATCATCTACCCCATCAGCTATTTTTTTCTGATCTTGTAATGGTTTGCAAGGATTCTTTCGCTTAAGATGCTCACGAAGTTTTTGAGGAGTTGAGCATTCTCGTCCACAACGTTCACAGGTTGTACCTCTCTTATTACTTCTTGTTTTTCTATTCATGGTGTTAGCTCTAACCGTCGCACTATTACTTGCTTATATAATTTTTTCTTTAATTATTTATTTCCTATGTACCTATCTTAGAAACTTT